CGTTTATATATTTAACTTAATGCTGAACAGTTCTTCAAACAAAAAAATGAGTATACTGATATAAGAGTTGTTTACAACTAGATAAACTTTCTGCTTTTACTCTGTTATTTTCAATTTAATCTCTAAACAATTATCTGATTGTAAATACATAGATATCCATTCGCGTTTATAGTAACTTATTAACCAACTGTCAATTTTGCGTTAAATGTTATACTTCAGTTGAATATTTTATGTATTCATCCTCTATTCTCTTTTCCCTTTGATTTGATTGAGAAAATTTTTGACTATAATTAAATTTTTTCACGTTTATATTTTTCCTCCTTTCAGTGTTTAATGTACACAAGGCTTATACAGTAATAATAAATTTTAGAATGATGAAGACAGCTCGAAAGTCACGCATATTAGGCATATGTCATTTGTCAAAAAAATGAAAGAAACAAATATGTTTACTTGGGTTGTTGATTTCTCTACCGATTTTCACTTTCTATCTGTTGTGGTGATGTGATGATTAGAAAGGAGCACATTATTAAGAAATTATGATGAGCAAAATAAACAGATGAATAGATAGTTAGTCAGTTCGTTTTTATCCCAAATCGAAGCTAAGAAAAAACCAGGAAGTAGAGAGTAAGTATCTAGTCATCCTTTGAGATTTCTTGCTGATGTTTACTTATGACTATAAATGACATGGAACCAAGGGCATTTGATTTTTCTGATCAGAACAATAAATTTAGATAAACAAGTCACAAGCCAATGGCTCGTAATTTAATTTTTATTCAATCTGGAACACAACGCGATCATCATTCAATGTCATTAATGAGTATCTAGATTTCGACTTCGTTGAACTTCATCATCATAACTTTAAGAATCTAACCTGAAGCCAAATTACTCAATCAATATCAAGATAAAAAAGAATTAGCCCATGTTCACTGTGTTTCTTCACTTAAAAAACGTGCCTAAACAAAATTTCTACTCATAACTTATGCATAGAATGACACTTTTAGTTTGTATGTAAACATGACACACAAAGTATGATGTTAAAGAATGTTTTTTGACAAAATAATACATTGTACGACGAAAGGAAGTTTCGAAGAGAATATAAATACCAAATTTTTAATTAACAGCATTCACCAACATGGAATACTTTTAATGAGACCCTAACCAGCTGTTTAGTATTCCAGTCAGATAACCTTATGAAGATGAGTTTTTCTACCTAGTACTTCTAAAAATCGTTTGGCTACTTAAATCTTAGCAAGTAGTAAATACATACAAAACTAATAATCGAATATCACAACTTTGTTAAGCACACAGTTAAATGAATAAGCAATCTTCCCCAGTAAATTCTGAATACGTCTCAACCAATTCAATGCAGTTATATAAAGCATCCTTCCAATATGGGCGCTTTTTTAAAGTGAAGATAGGAGAATGTGTTAGTGTGTTAATACTGAGATATCATCACTGAATTATAAGACAATTAAGCTGTCCTGTGAACGACAATCAAGTTACTATAATCACCACCGTTGCGAAATTAATTGAAACAAAACGTTTTCAAACCACCTTCAAAAGTATGCATGTTGATCATTCAGAAAAGTAGTTTTGATCGATAGCAAAATAAATTTGGGAGATACCGCTTCAAAACGACGACCCCAGTTGTAGGGGATAGTTTATTCGAGATTTTACTCAGAACTTCATACTATATAACTTGTAAGAATAAAAGTGATGGAGAAGACTTAAAGCTCACGTGGATGCTCTTTAGGGTAGATGTAATTGGGAAACATTCATTGTTGCTTTGGTCATTATCAGTATATACTTTCTAATTACTTCAGTAATTTAAAGGTTGTGAAAAAAAATGTTTTTACCAAACGACGTGCACCATTGATCCGCTCGTTATCACAAAACCTATACTATCCAAGCTTATAAACTGAAACTATAGCAGCAAACAATTTTGAACTGACTTGTCCATTATTTAAGACGTATGAGGATTTCCTAGACAACCTTGTAGATACATACTTCTCGTAACAGCACTGGACTGATAATACAACTATGCAGCCGACCTTTTTGACTTTATTGGTCCCTAGTTTTTGAACTTTAGCATGACTAATTTCTTTGAAACATCTTTAATATGTGAAGACGTGTCAAGAACATGTTGAATACTGATTGCGTAATTAGTAGTATTCAACTCCATCTTACTATGAATGAGTCTGCCCCCAAATGCCCTGGTACGACCGAGAGTGAGGAGAGTCTGCTCTCCCTCTCGAAATGCTCTCACATGGCCACGCGTATATAGCATCTGCCAGGGAAGTCCTACTCACTGCCTTCTCGTGGCATTACTGTTGCTTACGAAAGTGAGAGGACGAAAAGCGAATGTCCGGCGCTTTAACCGGGTTGGTGGATGTGGAGGATCCACCTAGGGGAGTTGGAGAACCCTGATTCCAAACCAATGGTGCACATGGGCTCCAGTATCCTGAAGGAACGAATGGCGTATGAACCAACTGTTGGTTACCGGCTACCATGAAACTGCATCTCTTTAAGATGCTCCACTGCCTTGTGGACTAGACCTTTAGGTCAAAGGCTCCGGGTGTGGCCCCTAAGAAAACCACCTGCTCCAGTCTGGGCAGTATCACAGTCCTCACACAAATCAAATGAGATTTGTGAGGCGCATATTTATCTGGTGCTTCCTTGTACCAATATTTATGTGTTTAAATAAATAAATAAAGAATGAGTCTAAAGAGACAACTGAGTATTTTTATGAATGATTTAGTTAATTTCAACGGTATAAGTGCGATTTAATTCCAGTCACCATGGGTTCCTCGAGATTGATGCTAAAGAGTGTTAGGTAGTATATATTATTAAGTTAGCTTGCCTTACTTCCTGTACACTCGACAATAAGTTTAAAACGATATATATATATATGCGCAGGGAGTGAAGTAGTTGAATGCGTCGACAACTTCACTAATGTTGGAAGTCTTATTAGCTCGTTTATCAATTAAAGGACGAGTATACTGCATAGCAGCCCATTCTGTTTTAATTTATGGCTGTGAAACGTGGATATTAAGGGTAGAGGTGTTATAACTTGTGACCCTGTTCCCTAATAATAAATAACGTAATGATACCGCCAATTAAAGAATAGCGAATTATCAACCGGGCCAATGACTCATAAAAGGCGTACGAGAAGTCTAGAGTCCTTATCGGCCCTTCTTTCTGCCTTTTGAGTAAAGAACACCAATCTCATCCTCGGCGATATGAATCATGTATTTCAAACATACTGGGTTTATACAAAAACCAATTAGACCACATCGTTCCATAAAATAAAATTTGTACAAGCTTTGGTCAAATGTGGGAGACTGTAATTAAAAGACTGGGCTAAACTGAAGAACGGTAAATCTTATAATAATAGTCTATGGGTCAAAATAAAGCTTATAATAGGAGGAACACGAATATACACAGTTCAGCTACTTAACAATTAAACAAAAATATATGCATCTTATTGTTTCATAAATAGTTCTCGAGAGTTACCACTCATAATTGTCGTCGGGATATAACAAGGGGATACTCGTAAGTTACTAGTATTTGACCACAGATGCCTTAGAAATATTGCTCGCATTTGCTGTGATCACCGGGTAAGCAATAGTGACGTTAGACATGGGGCATTAGGGAATGGTGGTAAATCAGTTGATGAGGTTGTGAATCTTCATCGACTGGGATGGTCAAGCTACATGTTACGTAATCCTGAACACCGATTACTATCACACACAATGCTGACTAGTATTGGCGATGGTTGGAAGAGTTAGGGGTGGCCAAACAAAAACGTGGCATCAGCCCTTGAAGTCACTAACTTCTAGTCCGAACCATGTTGGTAGATGCAGAATATTAATTTGGGGTTCGTGCGACTGTCGTAACCAGTGGTTGGAGACTCTGGGTCACATGACTCAGAATCGGTAACAACAGCGTAGGTGCATACACTCTTTGTCTTTCTTTAAACTGTAAAATTAAAACTGCTTTATACCTCCCTTTCTTTCTTCCTGTATTACATCCTTATATGCAATCTTTATATATATTACTATCATTGAAGTAACCGCTTCTATAAATTTGGTGTTCATCTTGTTATGCTAATGAGGTATGGCAACTAGAATCGACGCATATATGTACACGGTTCTACGTTGTAGACAACTGACTAATATATGCGCCCCCAAAAAAGAGAAACTAGGACAAAGTCAAAAGCTCTATTTTATTCTAAATTAATGTACCTAGAAATACCCAGCTCTTTTGAATTAATTAACAATCTAACATGTGAGAAAAGTTAATATTGATTGTTTAAACATGAAATCAGTAGTCCATAAAGATCCTGCGAATTAGATCATTTAAAAAACCAAATGAACCAAGCAATACTTCATCGATATACATAATCTGCTTTCAAGTTTTCTGAGATTTCGACTTCCCATCTATCACCATTTTGCAGCAATTTTTCTTTATTATATAGTAGTTCTTCATGTGTTTCAGTAGAATATTCGAAGTTTGGTCCCTGTAATTCAAAAGAGAAAACAAACTGGAAAATTAATTATCATATTCACTTGATGCTGTTTACATGTATCTTCCCATTGTTAGTTAGGACTGCACTTGATCAGACTCTTGTTGGCATATATTTTATTTATTTATTTATTTCAACACAAATATTGGTACAAGGAAGCACCAGATAAATATGCGCCTCACAAATCTCATTTGATTTGTGTGAGGGCTGTGATACTGCCCAGACTGGAGCAGGTGGTTTTCTTAGCGGACCACACCCCGAGCCTTTGACCTGAAGGTCTGATCCACGAGGCAGTGGAGCATCTTAAAGAGATGCAGTCTCATGGTAGCCGGTGTCCAACAGTTGGTTCATACGCCATTCGTTCCCTCAGGATCCTGGAGCCCATATGCACCAACCAGGTTAAAGCGCCGGACATTCGCTTTTCGTCCTCTCACTTTCGTAAGCAACAGTAATGCCACGAGAAGGCAGTGAGTAGGACTTCCCTGGCAGATGCTATATACGCGTGGCCATGTGAGAGCATTTCGAGAGGGAGAGCAGACTCTCCTCACTCTCGGCCGTACCAGGGCATTTGAGGGCATCTTGTACAGACTGCCTCGATATTGCCTGAAGTCACAAGCTTTATAAGCATCAGCACTGAGATGCAGGTACATTCAGCTGACGAGTTCCAAATGGGACGAAACACGCGTTCTGAATTCCACTGCTAGCGACTATCCATCTTTGCACATTAGTTATCTTAGTTTCAAATATTTGACCTTACAAAATCAATCGAAAGTAACAACGCCATCCATAAACTACAAAAGGGTTTGGGAAGTGGAATGTAAGAAAAATTATTCTTCTAACTGATTTTAAAAGGTAGCAACTTTTCAAGCGACATCAATTTTCTTTAAGACACCAAAGAGCCTCTATGACTATGCTGTAGTTTGGTGGATTATGCAACCTATTTATCTATCAGAGAAGCGTGCTTAGAACTGTCTCATACTTAACACACGAATAACTGTTAAGATTACAGTTAAATTGACACAATCTGCCAAAAAAATCATATCCTTCAAGTAAAAATCCATTCGTTTTACAGGGGAAGTTAGACTGAATAGAGTAATAGCTTTACAGTAGCGCATTAGTCCTATTTGCTACATTTGATAAAATAAATACTACAGCATAAAACACCTGAACTAATCAAAAAGAAATTAATCAAAACTGGTCATCTAAAGTTTAAGCAGAAAGATAGAAAGTACCTGGCTCATATTTTAGACTTATAATTACTAAAATTTAAAACTAGTAATCTATGACACCCCATTGAGCTTAAAGAGGAATTGTATTCTCTAAATTCAGATCTGTTAGTAGTAAAACTGCTGTGTTCTAGACTTCACAATACAATGAAATGATGAGATTAAGATGTGCAAATGAACCCCATAAGATTTATAACTACTGTGGTAAGTTCAGTTACTTTTTCTAGTCAGAATTTTTTATCTCGTGATTTAAGGAGATTTAAACTCTCCGAACAACTTTAAAGTAACAAGACAGAACAATCTATGAAATATAAATCACCTGGCCCAGATGACTTACCTCCGGCTCTTTTTAAAGATGGTGGTGACTTTCTGGCTAAGGAACTGACTGCGTTGTTTGGAAAGGTTTGGGAGCAAGAAAGTGTTCCAACATCTTGGAATGAGTCAATAGTCGTCCCTATCTTTAAAAAGGGTTCACGTTGTTCCTGCAATAACTACCGGGGGATAAGTCTACTTTCGATCGCGTCCAAACTATTGGCTTCTATCATTCTTCGTAGGTTGTTTAAAACCCGAGAACGATTGACTCGCGAGGAGCAGGCTGGTTTTCGTTCTGGTCGAGGATGCATTGATCACATCTTCACCCTCCGCCAAATGTTAGAACACCGTCATACTTATCGCAGGCCAACAATCGTAGTGTTTCTTGATATCAGGGCGGCCTTCGATTCGTTGGACAGGACTGTTCTCTGGGATTGTCTATTGAAGAAGGGTGTGCCTGAGAAGTTCATTAACATCTTAAAGGCCCTGTATACGAACACCTCAGGCAGAGTGAGGGCATACAACCACCTTTCTCCCTTGTTCCATTCGAGCAGTGGGGTTAGGCAGGGTTGCCCGATCTCCACATTCCTCTTCAACTTTGCCATCGACGACATCCTGGAAACAGCTCTGATGGATGTAAGTAATGGCGGTGTGGATATGTTGCCTGGAGAACGACTTCTCGACCTCGAGTATGCGGATGATATTGTCTTACTGTGCGATAATGCCCAAGGCATGCAATCCGCACTTAATCAGTTGGCAATCAGTGTCCGCAGGTACGGCATGTGCTTTGCACCCTCCAAGTGCAAAGTACTCCTACAAGACTGGCAGGATTCTCATCCTGTACTCACCCTGGATGGTGAGGAGATCGAAGTAGTTGAGAAGTTCGTGTATCTAGGTAGCTATATAAGTGCTGGTGGTGGCGTGAGTGATGAGATTGATGCACGTATAATGAAAGCCAGAGCGGCTTATGCCAATCTGGGCCATCTTTGGCGCCTTCGTGATGTTAGTCTGGCTGTAAAAGGTCGGATCTACAACGCGTCGGTGAGAGCAGTTTTGCTCTATGCTTGTGAAACCTGGCCTCTCCGAGTTGAGGATGTTAGACGTCTCTCTGTGTTCGATCATCGTTGTCTCCGAAGGATTGCTGACATCCAGTGGCAACACCATGTTAGTAATGCAGAGGTTCGGCATCGTGTGTTCGGGCGCAGAGACGATAATTCAATTGGTGTCACCATCTTGAAACACCGACTTCGGTGGCTCGGACATGTTTTACGAATGTCGTCCCAGAGACTTCCACGTCGTGCATTATTTGCCGACCCTGGGACTGGTTGGAGAAAGCGGAAAGGAGGTCAGTGTATGACATGGTGTCGTGGCATGAAAGAGAGCTGCAAAGGGCTAGCTTTTGTTGGTCCTTCACGACTCCCTGGTTGGGGTCCGAGAGATAGTGCAACACAGTGGCTAGAGACGTTATCGGATATGGCTCAGAATAGAAGCCAGTGGCGATCCTGCTGCAACCTTCTTTTACTTTCTACATAAAGAATGGTTCTAACTTTCCTAACTGAAAGAGTCTTCTGGTTGTACATTTCAGCCCGCCTTATCTTTTCATCCTTTATCTTCCTACTTTTATTATTTTGTGTGGCGCATATGTACCTGGTGCCCTTTTGTACCAATATATATGTGTTTAAATAAATAAATCTATGAAATGAAAACACCGATAAACCAAAGTACGAGTTTCTGCTGATGTGTTTAAAGCGGGTGAAAACTTATGGGTAAGGATTCTCAACTAAAAAATAATTCCTAACCTTGTTTCTATATAGGCCTAAATGAAGTGTTCCTTTTTTGAGAACTTATAAATGTAAATAGTCTGAGCAGGTAACAAGACAAAAAGTGTTGTGATGGGTGCTGGGAAATATGTGATTCTGATTTACTATTTATTCATTTAAACACAAACACCGATACAAGGAGGTAACAAATATTTATTCGCTACACAAACCATTTAATTTGTGTGAGGGTGGGAATACTGCCCGAGCGCCCTAACCGAAGCACGTGCCACACTCCGAGCCTTTGATCTACAGGTCTAATGCACGAGGCAATGGAGCGACATTAGAAGATGCAGTCCCATGGTAGCCAATGACTAACAATAGGTTTATACGTCATTTGGAGCTCACATGCACTTAGAATTAGGGTGTCCCAACTCCACTAGGGTGTATTCTTAGCATTCACGAACCCGGTTAAAGTGCCGGACATTCGCCTTTCGTTTTCTCGATTTCGTAAAAAACACTCCCACTACAAGAAGGCAGTGACTGTATACACCTGGCCATATGAGAGCATTTCGAGAGGGACAGCTGATTCTTCCTATCCCAGGCCGTACCAGGACATCTAAGGACAGTGTGATTCTGATGATTAGAGTGAAATATGAAGGAGTAACATTTTCCTTAAACAGATGAGTATCTGAATATTAGTGAACCCAATGAATGTACGAACGTCTTTACATCTAACGTGAACAACCTTATTTTTAACATACCAAAAACATAATACAGTTAATTATCATGTGATTGATATAAAAGTTCTATTTTGATAGTAATTAGGATGAATTACACACACGTTTTATAAAACTGTCTAACTTCACTTTAAACGTTTAGCAACTACTCGAACTGAAAAATGAGTAGAAGCTGACTTTTATCGATTTTACATATAACTCCTATTATATGGAGAGACTCTAAGATTCAATATACATTTAAAATCTTTCAAAAGATGTCATGTAACTGTTAACACACCAAAACCATAGAAAATTGGCTTAGCAACCAGATCCGTGTCAAAATTAAATAATCAGTTTTAAAAGTAAAAGGTAGTTAAAACAGTATTTAGTGCCAAGTCAGGAATTCGTGATATTCCCAAAAACAGAAATAGATTCTAAGCTGACCACCTTAATTAAATCCAAGGCATCTATGAAAAACTGACTATGCAGTTTCGTTCACCCATCCCCGAAGTTAGTGGGAAAATTTCGAGTGACCATGATTATTTAAGACTAGATATAGGGGCTCAAAGGCATTTTATTGAGTTAGTCACAATGATTTTAGATAAAGAGATAGAAATCTTTTTGTCGTGATAGGTTCGTAGAGTTTGAAACACAGTCGTTTTACAGCAGTATTTTAGACGTTACACAGGAAAAAGGTATTTGGAATTTGCTAAACCTTAAGGTGATCATACGAGAGTGATCATTTTAAACACATTCGTTTTTACTGATTATCTATGCCGACGAAAAACGGATTAAACCGAGACCTGAAGCATGATGTCTGCCCTCAAAACTACCTAGTCTCCTGTTTTAATTTTACAAAGAATCTCCGAGTATATGAACGGTTTTTCTCAAACACATCGAATAAACTGACATCTTGACAATTTTATTTTTGAGATTAAGGATATGATTAGTGGACGCGGCTTACTCGGCACTTAAGTTGAATGTGAAACTATCAATAGCATTTTGAAGTCACCTCCAAAACGAATGTGAAATAAAGATGTAACAAATAGGATCATAAATGGATAATTCACTAAGTCAGCAAAGATGAAAATGGGTTCATGATGTAATCTGTACAAGTTGAGTGGCCGATTCGCAGGGTCAAAAGATCTATTAAACTAGCCATACATTGTTTTGTGTGTAAATTTCTTAGTGCTTTACAATTACCAAAGGGTAGAGTGGAAGTTCTATCATTTTTAGTAATACACTAGTAAGCGCTTATATGTTGCTCGAGACGGTATGGATATCACTCTTGCATTGGCCACATCATGTTGTTTAACTCAAAATTTGTAGGTGAATATGAAGGTGTAAAAATATCAGGGCTTAGTAAACGAACCGTAAAATTCAGTATTCGCTACGTCAGACACTGAATAACTACGAAAGTGAAAATATGAAACGGTTGATTCACTAGGGAGATTCTACAAGTCAACTATTGGTTCTTAATTTAAAACGTTTACAAAGTATTACTAATTATTTGCTAGTAGATTTGGATTTTGCTGTTGTGAACTGATAAGCAATAGAATAAATTCAAAGATACGTTAATGGGAAATTGGTATGCAGGCCAGAGAACCAGCCAGATGCTCTTTGTTACTACGAGTATAGTGAACACTTTAAAATAACAAATTGGTTACCTCTACGATGGCATCCACTGGACACGCTTCCTGGCAAAATCCGCAATAAATGCACTTGGTCATATCAATATCATATCTAGTTGTCCTTCTATTCCCATCAGCTCTTGGCTCAGCCTCAATAGTGATTGCTTGAGCTGGACATATAGCTTCGCAAAGTTTGCAAGCGATGCACCGTTCCTCACCACTAGGGTACCTACGTAGAGCATGCTCACCACGAAATCTAGGACTGAGAGGACCCTTCTCGAAAGGGTAGTTCAAGGTTGCAGGCTCCTTGAAAATCATACCAAAGGTTAATCGTAGACCTATAATAATCAGTATTGTTTATCAGTAAGTTTAATACCTCTCAATATATCTGCTAATATAAGCCATCTAGTCACATTCTCAAAAGCACTTTTAGCCGTATTTTCTTCATGAGGATTAACAACTAGTTTATAATTTGAATTGAAGTGTCCCAAATGCAACTTCGCAGCTGCAACCTCGACTAGAGGAGAAAGATTAAGAGCACATCTCCGACTGAACAAGGTCATGATAACTGTTAAAGTATCAAACATCTAAATGCGGTTCAATATACAATATCTATGTTATAAGATTGTATAAACTGATTAATTGCTTTGCGCTTGCTTCTTGTAGTTTAAATACATTTGTAACCAGCATTGTAGCTATTTGTGTATTTTTATATTGTAGTGGCAAATAAATCCCCAACATCAATAACTCCGTAAGTGTTCAGACATTTGATCCTGACAACATTAGTTTTAATTGACTCACCTAGCTAAAGGCGCTCGGTCATGCACCAGCATCAGATCACGAGTGGAAATGTCGTGCTCAACATCCCTTGCAATCGCTAGCCAGATTAGATCAGTCGATCCACGATATATCGATAACTCATCAATTATATCTTTGAACCTTCTCTCTTCTGTCTTTCGATTTCACTTGATGCGTGCGATTCACAATAGAAGGTGCAACTGGTTAAAGCGTCTCTATACTCCGAATACCTGTGTGATTCTTCATTCGTTTTTTCTGTTTGTCTGTGGATTTTAATCTGTCGTTTCACTTGCCTTCGTCCCTTTTCACCTTTGATAGTAAATTTACACAGTTAATGGCACTTTGTTTCACACACAAACGATGAGTGTCTTGAATCAGTTATACTAGCGTCTTTAGTCCTTTCCTACAGATAAGTTTGACCGAATTGTTCTGCTTTCAAATTTGTGAAGTACAATCTCATTCACTCAACGAAATGCGATTTCAGCTGTTCACCATTGCTTTTGAAATTTTTGCTTAGGTTTAAATTTTGATATGCTGCAGATATCAAACTGTAACTTCTTTCGTCCTTAAAGTTATTCCTCCTTAGCACAGCTGTTTTCGTGGTGGGGCTTATCTGTCGCTAGAGGAAACTGACACATTGCACTTTATCAAGTTAACGATCATTACAAGCTCAGTTCGATACGTCCTTTTTCCCAGGACGAATTTCAGTTTACCTGCTTTCTCAAGAAACGTGTAGGTGGGCATCTAGACTCTGCCTCTAGAACCGATATAGAATGATTCGTATCCATATTCATAGACATTAAAGTGTCATTGTGTGCTAAGAAGTTGACTAAAATGACATAACCTTGTAGTATCGGTTGTTATGTTAAGCCCATAACTTTATTCTAGCTTCTGGCCAAGCTAATTTACCCATACATTATGAGTCATTTTTTGATCTTGTTAATTATTCACCTATTAACCTTGACTATATTTTTATGTGGGCGTATATGTGTGTACCCTTAGTGTCCTATTCATCATATGTCTGTCACTCATTTTTGTTCGATTATAAATATTGAGTAATGCTTGTTCATTGCGAGTTGGCTTCCCCGCCATCTCCAATACGCATTATTTTCGCTTCGCTGTCGAGTTGGTTTCCCATCCATTTCCACTATGCATCATCTTTGATTCGCGCGCTTACACTTGCTCATGTGCCCACAGCTTTCTGGTCTGCATCATTCATCAATAAAAATGTAGTTGCCGCTTCCTTTTGCCTTCTGATTTTATACACCGTTAAGATTGGTATAATAACGGCTATCGAAGTGAACTATTATTGAAGAACGGTACTACAACCTGTTCTGATTCCTAATTCAGTGATAATAATATATCTCTGCAAAGGCAGGCACACGCCAATTTTACAGGCATGATCTACAAGTTACAACATTTACTGGTTCACAGTATGCATCCCAAGTAAGGTTGTTTGGTAAATATAATTTATAAAACTGAATATCAGTCTATTCTTCCAGATATACTATATAGTGTTCAAAATAATTTACAAAGGGGCATAGTGTCTACGTTACAAATCATATATTACCCTATCCTCAGTCGAAATGTGTTCTTCAAAAGTGCTAAAATAGGCAGAATAGGCAGTAATGTGACTTCCATGTAAGATCATATAGATTAGGCAGTCACACGATGACAAATGTACGATTTTTTGGATTAGGTCTAATATTATAGCGGCGAAGATAAATGTACTTGTACCGAACTATTCATTTCATTCATTTAAACACATAAATATTGGTACAAGGAAGCACCAGATAAATATGCGCCTCACAAATCTCATTCGATTTGTGTGAGGGCTGAGATACTGCTCAGGTGCCCAAACTGAAGCAGGTGGTTTTCTTAGGGGACCACACCCGAAGCCTTTGACCTGAAGGTCTGATCCACGAGGCAGTGGAGCATCATGAGGAGATGCAGTCTCATGGTAGCCGGTGACCAACAGTTGGTTCATACGCCATTTGTTCCCTCAGGATCCTGGAGCCCATGTGCACCATTGGTATGAAATCAGGGTTTTCCAACTCCCCTAGATGGACTCGCCTTGTCCACCAACCCGGTTAAAGCGCCGGACATTCGCTTTTCGTCCTCTCATTTTCGTAAGCAACAGTAATGCCACGAGAAGGCAGTGAGTAGGACTTCTCTGGCAGAGGCTATATACGCGTGGCCATGTGAGAGCATTTCAAGAGGGAGAGCGGACTCTCTACGCTCTCGGTCGTACCAGGGCATTTGGGGGCACCAAACTTTACGCTAATTCTACACGCTCACAATTGTTAACGTGAAATATTGTTTGATTCATTATTGCATGGCTTTTTGAAAATAACACAAAAATTATGAACTTAAAACGATGGTGCCTAGTGATAAGGTAATTGACTCAATTGACTCACCCTTTCAACTATGGTAATTGAAAGCAATTGTTTTTGTAATAATAATAACAATTTGTTCTCAAATAACAGATTGTTCATACAAATACTCGTTACATTCAAGTGTTCTCCTTGCCTTACTATATTCTTCTGCTTTTGCTAGGAGCTCGCAACACTTAATAGCTCCCATGACGGGTTCGACCCACGGCTGGACTGAGTGCATATCTCATTTCACTTAAAAATTTGTCATGTGCTAACATTTTGCTTTCTATAACAAACTGGAGTAATCTGTTGAATCACTATTAATATGATTAGACATATGCTCTGGAAAGCTGAAAAGTGAACTACTTGGATCAATCGTCGGACCTAGCCTAAAGCCTATTTCAGTTTTATCATGCATGTCACAAAGCAAACAAGAAGTATGGCAACTATAGCTACTTCTCACCAAACTTTCAAATGGACGCTGTTTTTTTTCAGACACAGGGAATGTTGGGAAGAGGGCCTAGAAAACGGTATACAACCGTCCTCAATCAAAGTCCTAAAGGTTTACTCCTGACCAAAACTGAAGGCCAAAACTAGGATAAATTCAGCAACTACTCAGTATGCAAATCAGAGCCAAAATCCAGTTCGGTAACGGACAGGGTTCGAAACTGGATAGTATTGAGACGAATGGAAGCTGCCGCGACTGAAGTGTCTACTTTCAAGCTCAGTACGAAATACAGTTCAATTGACTATCCTTAATTACCAAACCTCAGCAACTGAACTATTAAGGACTCAGGAGTCAGTTTCGTTCCAGAAAAGGAAGTTTAAGCCACTAAAACAATCGAGGTTCTTTGGCGACAACGTTAATAACGACTGCTAAAGATCCATAATATGAGTAGATGCACTCCACACCTTTGTTGAATTTTTTGATAGCAATAGTAATTTATTCTCAAATAACAGTGTTACATGAAGCATACCAGTGTACAGACAAGATCAATTTGCTAAAAAAGATACTGTCTTCACTGTGGTGGGTTGCTCTGTTAGTTCAATGTGTAGTGTAGTGCTTCGTTAATCGATCGTCTTGATAACCGTTATTATAACAATCTGAACGGCGTATAATATCAGAAGACAAAGGGAAGCAGCAACTACATTTTTATTGATAAATAACATGGGCTAGAAGGCAGTGAGCACATTAGCAAATGTAAGCAAGCGAAGGAAAGATGACGCAGAGTGGAGATGGCTGGGAAGCCAACTCGTTATAAGCAAGCATTAATCAACATTTATAGTCAGACTAAAATGAATGACAGACATGTGATAGGTAGGATAAGAAGTGTGCATACACATACGCTCATATAAAAAAATATTCAAGGCCAATAAGCTAATAATTAACATGATCAAAACATGACTCATAACGTTATAGGTGAATTGGCTTGTCCAGAAACTAGAATAAGCTATGTAGGTGTAATATAGTACACGACGTTACACTACTCCCCACAAATGTATTATAAGACACTGATCATAAAGTTATAGGGAAGACACTACACACATATGAAAGTAAATAATATTAGTGAGATTCGTGTTGTCAAGATAACAGTCGGTGCGCCTTATGGAGGTTGTGTTGCGACGTGCGACTGATAGTCGGGAGTGCTTACCCAGTTACGCCTGTCACACCTCGTGGAGGAGCATTCGCCATCCAACCCTGTCCTGGGCAATCATTTCCGGTTCCTTGCAGTTAAAATTCATCCTTTTCATATTTGCTTCTATCTCCCGACGTAATGTGTTCTTTCACCTTCATCTTTTCCACTTCCCTTCCGGATTCCAAGTCAGCGATTGCCTCGTGATGCAGTTTGATGATTTTCTAAATATATGTCTGATCCACTTCCAACGTCTTTTCCTAATTTCCTCTTCAGCTGAAAGCTGGTTTGTCCTCTCCCATAAAACGCTATTGCTGATAGTATCCGACCAATGGATGTTGAGTATTTCGCGTTGACAACTGTTCATATATACTTGTACCTTCTTGATGATGGTTGTAATAGTTCTCCACGTTTCAGCTCCGTTGAAAAGGACTGACTTGACATTAGTATTAAAGATTCTGGATTTGACATTTATTGAAAAATGTTTTGAGTTCCATATGTTCTTCGATTGTAGGAATGCTGTGCTTGCTTTGTCAATCCTTGCATTTATATCTGCATCAGATTCTTCTTGTTCACCAATGATGCTACATTGATAAGTGAATGTTTCTACCTCTTCCAGAGCTTCTCCATCAAGTGTGATTGGATTGGCGTTCTCCGCGTTATATTTCGGAATCTTACTTTTTCCTTTGTGTATGTTGAGGCCTATTGATGCAGAGGCTGCTGCTACACTAATTGTCTTCTCCTGTATTCGCCCGTGTATGTGGGATGGAGGGTTAGGTCGTCTGCCAAGTCGAAATTGCCTGATTGATTCTGAGATGTCCACTGTATTCCTTGCTTCCCCTCACACGTTGAGGTCTTCATAATATAGTCAAACATCGAAAGGAAGAGAAAGAGGGAGAGTAGACAGTCTTGTTTGACTCCAGTCCTCACTTGTAATGTGTTTGTCACCTGTCCTCCATGCATGACTTT